TCTATTATTATTATTTTATTTATTTATTTTTTATGTAGATCTATTTTAATTTTTCCACTCTTCCTTTCTTTTGAGAAGATTTTTTTTCTTTCACTATTTCATAGTCTTTAATTTGTAAAATGTTTATTTTTATTTTATTTTATTTTTTTAATTCTATTAAAATTTCCAAGAATACACAATTTTTCTCATTTCCCTGTTTCTTAAATTTTCTTGTAATTACAAGACAACTAAAATATGAATTTTGGTTTAGGTTTTAGTAATAATCATTATTGTTTCATTTGACTCGCTCTTTTTGTTAACAACGTAACCAAACAAAACGAAAGAAAATAATTTTCCACAAAATCATTTCCGTCACCATTTTTCTTAGAAACCAAAATATAGTTGGAATTTCAAAATTCCTTGATTTGCATTTCCAGTTTACTCATATCAAAATCCCATGAACCAAACGGAGCCTTAGTTCTTTGTTATTTGGTGACTTGATTCAAATAGTGCTCGAACAGAAAAAAATGTAAATTGATAGAGCCATCTAAGGTACAAACCTTGACACATAATTATAACCCGTAAAAATAAGAGAAACGCGTGTATCTATTTCAATTACACATGGAGCTAAAACCGTGAGATTAATCACGAGTAACGAAAACGTGATTTCTTTCGCTGATTAAATTTTGCTAAGTTTAATGTTTTGCGGTTGCGATGAGAGGAGAGAGTCGAAGCCAAAAGTTCGGTAGGATTTCAATGAAAATTATGATTTAATTTCCCCATTGTATTCTAGATTGACATCGCTTTAACACCTATTTTTATTGCATCAATTTCCATATGCACTCGCATTGTTGTCTGAATGTGCTCTCGGTGTTGGTTTTCATACTTTTGTCCTTCACACCATTTGATCAAAAGCTTGGAAATTACAAAAATGTTCAGACCTCCTCTTAGTTGAACTCGGCCGAGTTGAGGGCTTGAGTTGAAGCGGCCGACGGATCATCATCATCATACTCTACCACCATATTCTTCCATTAGCTTATTCAAATACAATTATGTTAGAATATGAGTTCCATGAGCCAATGATAAAAACACATCAGAATTTAAGTTTTAGAGTTGCCATTTAAAATTTGTAAAAAATCCGATGTTTATTTAGAGTTAGGGGCGTGAACGAGTCAAGCTAGCCTCTTTTGGCAGGCTCGAGCTCGTCGAGTTACTTCATTTTTTGCTGAAGCTCGAGCTCGTGTCCATCTTGTCGAGTTCGAGCCCAAGCTCATTTTGTTGTTTTTCTTTTTTTTTTTTTTTTTTTTTAATTATTATTTAAAAAAATTACAAAATAAACAATAAACCATTACCTAAAAAAACCTATCTTTATATGAACATGAAACAACATGTTACATGCAAATTGAGCAAATGATTAAATAAATAGAAATTAACTAAAACAAAAAGCAATTCAAAACTCATCTCACTATTGCAATTTGCAACTCCAACATTCATTGCTAATTCTCCCACATAACAATCCCAAAAACATTTTAAAAAAACAACAAAAATATAATCTTTTGCTTTTTCCCAGTCGAAAAATCAATTCTCACCGGGACAAGAATTTGGGATAATCTGCAAAAACTTGGCCCTCGCCAAAGGGTCCGTTGAAAATCGACCCAAAACAGCAATCGTAGCAGTGTTGCTCCCGAATTTCTCAATACCCCGAGAAATCATACAAGTGTGACTCGCTTCCACAACCACCATTACATCTTCACCCAAATAAGACGAAACTGTCTCGGCTATCTGCCTAGTCAGCCTCTCTTGTACTTGAAGTTTAAACCCGTAAAAACGCACTATCGACTGTAGAATAGATTTTCCAACGGGGTTCATAATAAAACCGTTCGAACGGTAGTACCCTATATGCACCACCCCGTGGAAGGGTAGCAAATGGTGCTCACATTGAGACAAGAAAGACAAGTTCACCTCACAACAAAGATGCTCGTCTTCATGGGAGATCAAAGAGTCCGTCTTACCTCGAATGTTGTGTATGTGCCCGTTTAGCTTCGTCTCGAATTTCGAATTCTTGAAATTCATCAACCACTTAACGAAACGGGCGGGGGTTTCGACGAGTTCTTTCCTCAACGGATCCTCGCCCAAAGAACAAAGTATCGAAGAAACCGAAGAGAGAATCTTTGAATCCGACGACCCCCCTATATTCGAAAATGCATGAGACGGGCACCAACACTTTTCGCCGGAGCTTCTAGAGGAAACATCCCCTACATTTACTCCTCGGAATCTCAGAAGGCTTAGGAAGTCCGTCCAAATATCCGACATGTCGTCGTCGAAAACACCCGAGCCCGATTTGACCAACGTCTTGTTCGCCCAACTTTTACAGGCTGGGTCGAAATGGGCCGGGTCGAAATAATGTGAGAGCATTGGAGGATAACAGCGACACCTGTCGGTCTAAACCCGTGCTGCAGAGCAGTGCAGATCTCAGTGGCTAGCCTCGTTGGGTCTTTGGAGGCGTTTGGCGAAGACTTCGGCGACTCGGGAGAGCTTGCTAAGTCCGACGACTCTTTGGGCTGAGGGTACATAGCCCACGTGGCACTTGACTTGAAACGGGAGCAAGCAGGATTCGCAGTACGAGAAGAGATCGAGATCTCGAACCAAGACGAGACCGCCTGTGCCGCCAGCATGGCCTACTTTGTTTTCTAGCCCTGCTTCGGGGAATAAAGCGCCACCCACAATGTCCTTCACGTTTTGCTTATAGCCTGGATAAATACATCGAAAACGAAGGAAGTTATATTACAAACATGAAGCTATAAAACACAAAGAGTACACATGGACAACAATCGAGAAGGCAATCAATCTTCAACCTAAGAAAAAAAGAAAATGGAATTTAATAATAAATCCCCATTTCCGTGGATTGTAATAATAAATCCCCATTCGCGATGACTGTAACTATATAAAGAAATAGATTCGTACTCCAACGGAACAAATTCCTAGCATGTGATTAAAGGGATGCTAATATCGGTCAAACATAAACATATCGATTTACTCCATTTACTACGTTTCGCCACTTGTTAGCTAAAGCAATCCATCAATAGCAGTTTAACAAGAATTTAAAGCTCTCTACCTAAAAACACATCAGATCTTGTCGTATATAGCAAACAAATATACTCAAAAGCAACAGATCCAATTTACAATAAAGTACAATTTACTAAAAAAGTACGCAAAACGAAAAACATAGATACGAAGGGCGATGTGGAATTATCACCTCGAGTCCCTTCTAGAAGAGCCTTCGCCACACGGAGAGGGGTCTTTTTCAGACCTTCACGATTGAAATCCTCACCCAAACCCTGCAATAAGACTCTCACAGCTTCTTCGATGGCGAAGGTGTCGGGTTCTTCGTCGAAATCGAGCTCCACATCGCCACCAAGATTCACTCCATTCCCGAGTTCTGCATTATAATGACCCTCATCTAAAGCGCCCATTGACAAACACCCAAAATAGATCTTTACCCACACCAACCAACCAACCAATCAGCTCAAATCAGGGTTTCAAGATTCAAAACCCACCAATTATTCAGACAAGAGATTCAAAACCCATCAACGATTCAGACAAAAGATTCAAACTTTTGAGCTCCCAATATCGAAAAATCACAAAAGATTCAAACTTTCGACCTCCCAATATCGAAAAAAATCACAAAAGATTCGAACTTTCGACTTCCCAATATCGAAATCGACCTCCCAATATCGAAAAATCACAAAAGATTCAATTTTTCGAGCTCCCAATATCGAAAAATCACAAAAGATTCAAACTTTCGAGCCCCCCAATATCGGAAAATGACGAAAAGATTCAAACTTTCACAATAACAAGAGCGCAAAAATAAGCCCCCAACAAATCAAAACATTAAAAACCAAATTTTCAAGAATTGCTACAACACACACACACACACACACACACACAAAAGAAGAAAACCCAAGTGGATAGAAAGACGAGGGGCTGTTATTGAGAGGAAGAGGGTGAGGAATGTGTGCCTGTGCAAATATTTTTGCAAAAAGAGTGTATAGAAAACGTAGGGTTGCCGTTGAATTTGGAATGTGTGGAAGGGACTTTGCACTTTTGGGAAAGGAAAATAAGGAATTGCTTAGATTTGGTTCATCGGAAAGTGGGACCCACATGAATTGAGTGATTTAAGATCTGGTTCGGCGCTAAAACTGTTATGGTGGGTGTAAAAATTATGTTCCCCAATAAAACTATAGCATGATGGTGGCGGTCGATCTCCGATCTGGGTGCTGGTTGGTGGCTCTCGATCGATTCTTGGTAAAGAATCAATTTTTTTCACTAACTTCGAAAAAAAACAATTTAAATATTCAAAACCGACAGAAAAGCCCATTGGGTAATTAAATTGGCCCAATAGAGTTGTGTGATGAATGTCGTTTCAGTTTTAATAATATTATTTTGATTTTATACGTGGTTTTGAACAATTTTTAGTTTGAATTTTATAAAACTCGAAATTTGTAGGCCTCTGACTTAGCTTTATAAATCAACTTGAACCACCGAGATTGAATGTGGGGTGAGAAATCTATGCATGGATCAATGAACGCTGCCAACGATTTTAATGTTTTGAGTTATTTAGAATTCGAATTGTAACTTATTCAAGCATAACTGTGTCATCTAACATCCGATCTAGTTGATTCTAGTTGGATTAGAAAGCTAACGTACATGACTTGAGTTTTCGTGTTTTGAATTTTACAAAAATCAGACTGAAAAATGGTCGAAATCACATTTAAAGTTAAGCTTTAGTAAATTTGAAACGATATATAACATTTCAATTTCTAATAATATCATATATTGGATGGGATTTGATGTTATTCTTAGTTACTCTCTCTCTCTCCTAGCGATGTTATAAATGTTCGATTTAGTTTTAATAATATTGTTGCGACTTCAAATATGATTATGATTATTTTGGAGCCTGAATTCAGCAAAATTTAAAATAAGGAAGTTGTAGTTCTTTGAACTAGCTTTTTTAATCCAACTCGAATCATCATGATTGGATGTCTGGTGAGAAATATATTCATGAATCTATGAACATTGCTCACAACTTTTATGTTTTGAGTTATCTAAAATTTAAGATGTAGCTCATTCATACATAATATTGCCACCTGACATCCAATCTAGCTGATTCAAGTTGGATTAGAAATCTAACTCAAAGGAGTACATTTTTTGTATTTTGAATTTTGCCGAAATCTCTCTAAAAAAAAGAATTTTGCCAAAATCAGACTGGAAAACGGTCAGAATCATATTTGAAGTCAAAACAATATTATTAAAATTGAAACGACATTTAACATTTCAGTTTTGCAAATCAGTGAGGTTCTTTAAAGTGCGTCATCAATGTATGAGATGGAGATAATATTTAACTTAAAAGATTGCCTATTTCCTCAGCTACTAAGTTACAGTACATGTCACCCATAGAATCATAATTTCGAAATGTTAAGTCTTGTTTCAATTTTATTAATATCATTTTAACTTGGAACATGATTTTAACCCCCTTTCAATTTTATTTTAGCAAAATTCACAACATGAAAACTGTAGTCTTTTGAGTTGATTTTCTAATCAAACTTAAATCAATTAGATTGGATATCGGATGACAGCATTATAACTTATGAGTTACATTTTAAAATAAGCAATGTTCATCGATTCATACACATCTTTATCACCCGCCATGCATCAAATTTTCGTGATTCAAATTAGATTAGAAATCCAATTTAAAGAACTACAAATTCCGTGTTTTATGTTTTGCCAGATTGAACCACATAAATGGCCAAAATCTCGTTTGAAGTTGAAACGATATTTTATTCAAACTGACTGAAACAACATTTATCACAACCGCAAATTCCCAACTCAGAAACAACAAATATCTCTCTTGATTTTTCTTTTCCCAGACAGAACTCGAACCACATGTGGTTACATCTCTCAATCCTTTTCGTTTATTAATTTCTGTCCTCTCTGGTGAAAAGAAAAAAATGTAAATGGGCCTCCCAATAATAAATCAAAAGGGATTTCTTGAAATAATTTTCCAATTACTTCTGTTTGCATGCAACTTGCAAGTCTCCGTTTACTTGACCAAGGTTCCAAAAAGTGCTTACCGGTTTCGCGTCAGTTAGGTACCGCCATACGGTAAATCAGTGCGACGGTGAATTATTGGAAACAAATTGATTTTTAAATTTAGTTTAATATATTTCTAAATATTGTTTGTAAATACTCAAAATATATACATAAAAATTATTTAAACATGATTTTAAATAATATTTGGTTAATGAATAGTTCAAATCTCTCTCTCTCTCTCTCTCTCTCTCTCTCTCTCTCTCTTAATTACATATATATATATACATCACCATAACTACAAGGAGAGCTCACCACAAAAACTCTACACCACCATGGAAAAAACTCCTTATTACATTCTAGTCCTCCTACTTACAACAATCTTCATAAACTACCAAAAATCTTGCCTCGCCGCCACAAACTACGCCACCGATCAATCCGCTCTCCTCGCCCTAAAATCTCACATCACTTTAGACCCTTACAACTTCATCACAACCAACTGGACAAACTCAACCTCCGTCTGTAGCTGGATCGGCGTCACTTGCGGTTCCCGCCATAATCGAGTAACCACGCTAAATATCTCCTACATGTTTCTTTCGGGCACTATTCCACCACAAATAGGAAATCTCTCTTTCCTCATCTCCCTCGATCTCAGTCGCAACTTTTTCGGCGGCGTCCTTCCTCAACTACTTCCCCATAGGTTGAAGTACATTTCTCTCCGAAACAACAATTTCACGGGGAATATTCCGATTTCTCTCTCTAACCTCACGAAGCTACAACTAGTTGATTTTTCTTCGAATTCTTTTCAAGGGAATATTCCGAAAGAGTTTGGGAAGCTTCAAAGTCTGCAGGCTTTTGGCATGGAGAATAATCGTCTCTCGGGTACTATACCGTTAGCCATATTTAACTTGTCGAGTTTGGAAGTGATTGCTTTGACCGGAAACGAATTGAGTGGCGGACTTCCGAGTTACATGTGCGATAATCTTCCGCTTCTTCAAGGAATTTATCTATCCAACAATAAATTGAGCGGGAAAATTCCGTCGAATTTATCGGAATGTTCGCAACTTCAAATCATATCCATATCTCGGAACTCCTTTAGTGGTCAGATACCGAGAGAAATTAGCGAGCTCCGATTTCTTCGGGGTTTAGCTCTCGGCGTTAATAATTTAAATGGTATGATATTCTTGTTTAAATTTGTTGGAGATATAAATATATTAAATGATTCACTTCACTAACAGCTTAAGCTTTCGGTTATGGTACGTGGTTATTCATGTTGGTATCAGAGTCGGGCCAAATGAAGTATCCTATAATTTTCTTTGTGTGTTAAATATATAGGTGTTATCCCGCCGGAGATCGGAAATCTTCAAAACTTGGTTCAGTTTGCCGCTGAAAAAAATCGGATTACGGGCGCAATTCCCGCGGGTATTTTCAATATTTCCTCTCTCCAAAAATTGGAAATTTTACACAGCTCAGAAATTTGACACTCGGGTACAACAAATTAACAGGTGCGGTTGAGTAAAATAGCTATTTATTTTAAGGCACATTGCACATTACCCCCTATAAATTTCTAATTTTCATACTTTACCTTCTCCAAATTAAAAAAAATGTGAATGTCCCCTTTCAGAATGTTATTCTTGTTGCACATTAGCAAAATCCTGATGGACTATAAATTGGAATTGAGTATTTTTGATGTACGTTTGCCCCTTCAAATGTTATTTTTGTTACACTTTGCACCTTAAAAATATTATCTTTTATGCACATTATTCCTTCAAAATGTTATTTTTTGTTCACAATGCCCACTGTAAATTGGCTTTTGGGGCAATGTGCAACCAAAATACTATTTCGAGGGGTACCCTTTTTTTCTATTTTTAGGAGGGAAAGTGCGAAAATGGAAAATTTATAGGGGGTAATGTGCAATGTGCCTTTTATTTTATTATGGACAAAATGCACTTCCCCCCCTACAAATTTCCCATTTTCGCATTTTCCCCCCTAAAAATTCAAAAACTGGATAATCCTCCTTCAAAATATTATTTTGGTCGCACTTTGCTCTAGAAGCCAATTTTTGGTGGGCATTGTGCAACAAAAATAACATTTTAAAGAGGCAATTGCAAAAGATAAATGTTTTTGAGGGGTAACGAGCAACAAAAATAACATATAAAGGGGCAATGTGCAACAAAAATACTCAAATGCCGATGAATCATCCATCGAAATTTTGCTATCGCAGCAATGTGCGACAAAAATAACATTTTGTAGGGGGACATTCACTTTTTAAAATTTTGAGGGTGTAAAGTGCAAAAATTATAGGGGGTGATGTGCAATTTGCCATTTTATTATGCATATTCTTTTGAATATTTAAACTTGGCAGGGGATTTGCCGCGCGAGATGGGCAAACTCTACCAGCTGGAAGATCTAGTATTAGATTTTAACGCCTTCACCGGTGTAGTTCCGCTTGAGCTCTTTACATGTCGAATCTTCGAGGTCTTGGACTTACAGGTAACGGTCTCTTCGGTGGTCTCCCGAAAAATATTGATCGCGGTTTGCCCGCTCTTGAAGAACTCGCCATTGCTTCAAACTACTTCAATGGAGAAATACCCGAATCGATCGCTAATTGTTCCAAACTCAGACTTCTCGAACTCGGTTCTAACAACTTCACCGGTTTAGTACCTCACTCTCTCGGCACCCTAAGACTCCTCGAACGCCTTGGCCTCTTCAATAACAATCTATCTTCTTCTTCTTCGGAATTAAGCTTCATAACTTCCTTGACTAACTGCCGATCTTTATACGAACTCGCAATTACCGATAACCCTATAGATGGCATCCTTCCAACTTCCGTCGGGAACTTATCTAAGTCGTTACAAATATTCCATGCCTATAATTGCGAACTTAAAGGTACCATCCCTCCAGAAATCGGCAATTTAAGCAACCTTGTGACGCTTGCTTTAGGCGGGAACGAATTGTCCGGTGAAATTCCGATCGGTATAAAAAACATGCACATGCTTCAAGGCCTATCTCTAGATTACAACAAGATGTCGGGTTCGGTATTTCCGGAGGTTCTGTGCGATTTAGATAGCTTGGTTTATTTATATTTAAACCAAAATAACTTTTCTGGTACAATACCTGATTGTCTAGGGAATGTCACGTCTTTAAGAAATCTCTATCTAGATTCGAACATGTTGACTTCAACCATACCGTCAAGCGTGTGGCGCCTCGCGGATTTGCTGAAGCTGAACTTGTCCTCGAATTTGTTGAGCGGATTTATACCTCCGGAAATTGGTAATTTAGTGACGGCAACCGTGATCGATATGTCAGTGAATCGGTTCTCGGAGTCTATTCCGAGCGCAATCGGGAAGCTAACATCTGTGACTTATCTATCTTTGGCGCATAATGGACTAGAAGGTTCTATTCCTGAAACCGTGGGGAGTATGGTTAGTTTAGTAACGGTAGATTTGTCTTACAACAACCTCTCCGGTTCAATTCCAAAGTCGTTGGAGTCGCTTCAATCCCTCCACTACTTTAATGTCTCTTTCAATGCGTTGGTAGGAGAAATTCCGACCGATGGTCCTTTCAGAAATTTCACGATCGACTCGTTTATGGCTAATGACGCATTATGTGGAGTTCCAAGGTTCTACGTGCCACCTTGCGGTAATGTTTCGGAACATAGGTCAAAGATGAAAAGGGTGCGCTCGGCTTTATTCATTGTTATTGGGATTGTTGCGTTTATCTCGTTTCTCTCTTTGGCCTTCATTTTCGTACGATACAAAAGGAAATATAAAGCAAATGCAGGAAATGGAGTTGATGGTGTAGTGTCTACTTTACCGGAAAGAATTTCCTATTATGAACTCCTACAAGCCACCGAACAATTTAGTGAGACGAACTTACTAGGCACGGGGAGTTTTGGTTCGGTTTACAAAGGTGTTCTAAGAGATGGGAAGGTTCTGGCTGTAAAGGTCTTCAATTCGCTATCTGAAGTTGCTTCCAAGAGCTTTGACGTGGAATGTGAAGTACTGCGTAATATTCGTCACAGAAATCTCACCAAAGTTGTTAGCAGTTGCTCCAACGAGGAGTTCAAGGCATTGGTACTTGAATATATGCCCAATGGAAACTTGGACAAATGGCTATATTCCCACAATTATTGTCTCGATCTCTTGCAAAGATTGAACATAATGATTGATGTTGCGTGTGCGTTGGAATATCTTCACCACGGCTATTCTTCACCCATTGTTCACTGCGATTTGAAGCCGAGCAATGTGTTGTTAGATGAAGAGATGGTTGCACATGTGAGTGATTTCGGGATAGCAAAATTGTTGGGCGACGGTGAGAGCATTGTGCACACAAACACCCTAGCAACACTCGGCTACATTGCTCCAGGTGAATCTTTATAATTTTCAAATTATTGTGTTGTTATCCACTCCCCCGGTCCCACAATATACGTCACTTCAGAAAAAGTTTTGTGTTCCATATTATTTATCACTTTTGAATTCCAATTCTGCATTAGTTACATAATTTATAATTTTACCCCTTACTTACTTTATCCAACCCTCTTTCTTCTTGATTCATTTTAGGGTAAATTCCACTTTACCCCTTGTACTTTGGCTGGATATCACTTTACCCCCTTGTACTCTCGATTGCATTGATTTGCCCCCTTGTACCTTGGTTCGATATCACTTTACCCCATTCTACTCTCAATTCATCGATTTGGCCCCTTGTACTTTGGTTCGATATCACTTTACCCCCTTATACTCTCAATTGCACCGATTTGCCCCCATGTACTTGACAAATTATCTCAATGTGGCTCTCGCGACCTTTGACCTTAACACCGTTTGATCTAAGTTTGAAAATTACAAAAAATCCACCCCTCCCAGTTTAACTAACTATTAATAAAATAAAATAAAAATTAAAAAAAATTGTGGCTGGCGTCGTGGACTATGTTTTCTCATTATCTTGATTTTTTTTATTATTTTATTTTTTGTTGTTGTTTGTTTTTTATTTTTTTTATTTTTTTTAATAATTATTTAAACTGGAGGGGTGACATTTTAGTAATTTTCATACTTAAATCAAACGGTGTTAAGGTCAAATGTCTGAAAACTAACGGCGAGGGCCACATTGAGACAATTTTTCAAGTAAGGGGGTAAATCGATGCAATTGAGAGTAGAATGGGGTAAAGTGATATCGAGCCAAAGTACAAGGGGGGAATCGATGAATTGAGAGTAGAAGGGGGTAAAGTAATATCGAACCAAAGTACAAGGGGGCAAATCGATGCAATTGAGAGTATAAGGGGGTAAAGTGATATCCAGCCAAAGTACAAGGGGGTAAAGTGGAATTTACCCTTCATTTTATTATTGTACAAGGGTAATTTAGTCTAAAAATATATATTTTCATAAATCAAGTCATATTTATTGATATTCTTAATACGCTTGTACGAAAGTGAAAAAACGAACACTAACTATGATTATTTCTTGTTATATATAGAGTATGGTTTGGAAGGACTTGTTTCGACTAGGTGTGATGTTTACAGTTACGGAGTGATGGTTATGGAAACATTTACAAGAAAAAGGCCAAGCGATGATATGTTTGCGGAAGGTTTGAGCTTAAAGAGTTGGGTTCAAAGCTCACTTTGGCAGTCGCCGAATGAGGTTATAGACTCCAACTTACTAAATACCGAAAACGAACAACACTTTGAGAAAAACCTGCAATGTGTGTCATCTATACTGGAGTTGGCTTTAAAGTGTTTGTCGGAATCTCCTGGTGATAGGATAACCATGAAAGAAGCCTTGGCAGAATTACAGAAAATCAAAGGTCGATTTTCGCCCGTAATTCGCAGGTAATGTAAACTAGGTTTCAACATTATATTGTGTATGTTTTTCTTCTGTCCACGATAAGTTGTATATACTATACTCGAGGGAAGAATCATGTATGTTTGTACTTGTAACTAATGGCGCCCACCGCACATAATATCAAGTGAAGTGCAATGTTGTTCTATCATGGTTATTGCACAAAATTTTCAGCACAACACACTATCATTTAAGAATGTTAAGTCGAAAGATCGAAAATGTAGACGGGGAAAATATATTTTCGGCCCCTTAACGACGAAACTATCCTTTTTCTGTGTCATGCACTTCACGAATCCAAAGTGACACGAGCAAAAAGGAGCTGCAGCCTGCATGCATTTAATGTCATTTCAAACAAAATATACATAGTAACTGATCTCTTACAGCGTGTTCTATTACATCCGTTCGACTACGCGTGCTAAACAATCGGCCTCTCGTTGTGCCCGAATTGCTCTAATAAGTTGAGAAGCTCCAAAGATTGATAAGGTCCCTCTCCATTTACCAGAAAATCAATATAAGGCGAGACTGCATTACGATCCTCTACACCAGCACTTCTCATAAGATCGGTTATCAACCAATCAGCTTCTTCAAATCTTCCCTCACTTTGAAGACCAACAATCACAGTGCTGTAACACGCAAAAAACGGAAAAGAACCGTAGGCATTGAATCTCTTGATCCACTCGAGAGAACGAGTATATTCACCACTTTTGCATAGGTGCGTGATCGCGCAAGAACATATATCACTATCGGGTATAAGCCCGTATTTCACCATTTCTTGTATAAAGATATCCCCTTCCGATATTCTCCCCGTTCTACATAGGCCCGTGATTAAGAACTTGTATACATCAAAAGCATGACCGCCATATTCTCTAATCTTGTCGAAAAATCGGAAAGCATGGAAAATATCCATTTTGGTAAAAATAAAGTCGTCTCTATTAGCACACCCCATTTTCCTCGTCATTGCGGTGAGTAGCGCAAAATATATTTGATCATTCGCCCGACAACCTTTGTGGAACATGGTGCGAACAATTTCAAATGCCTGGTTCGATTTTCCACTCTGGCAAAGACTACCGATGATTATAGTATATGTATAGATATTCGGCGGACACGAATCCCTTTCCATGAGTTCAATCATTTCCAAGGAAGCTTCTATATCACCTGCTCGACAAAGCCCGTCAACCATTATCGTATAAGTCACAACAGAGGGAACTAAACCGTGCTTTAACATCTTACCCAATATAGCATTTTGTTCGACTAGCTTAACTTCTTTACCAAGAACATCGAGAAATACGTTGAATGTATGTGGACTAGTCAAACACCTATCTTTGACCATTTCTTCGAACAGCATAAGTGCAGATCTAATTTTTCCGGCTTTGCAATAACCGTGGACAAGAGCAGTTAGCGCCACTTCATCAATAAAGATTCCTTTCTTGATCATTAAACCAAGAAAAAAACCCGCTAACTCCAATCTTCCCATTTTGCAGAGACTATCGACGAGTACTGTATAAGAAAATCGATCGGTCGCAATGCCAATCGAGCTCATCGAATGCAAAATCTTGAAAGCCATCTCTATTTGGCCCGCCCTACAGAACCCGACAATGAGGATATTGAAGGTAACTTGAGTCGGAAATAAGCCATTGTTTACGACCTTTCTCAGCAATTCCATAGCTTTGTAAGGTGTGCCGATTACACACAGCCCTTCTATAAGTTCATTGTACGTACGTATATTTGGCTTGCATTGCCTTCTCTCCATCACTCCAAGCAACTCAAAAGCCGAAACCACCAATCCTTCTTTACAATAACAATTAATCAGTGCATTGTAAGTTACATTACCGGGATTTATTCCATCTTTAAGCATCTTCCTAAACATCCCGTTAGCCTCCTCGATCTTTCCCTCTTTACATAACATATCCACAAGAATCGTGTATGTGTGAGCGTTAGGCTTGCACCCTTTCTTGATCATCTCATCGAGCAAAATCAATGCCTTATCGATCAACCCTTTATCACACGTAGCTTTAATTAGAACCGTATATGTTCGAGTACTCGGATGGCATCCCTTCACACACATTTCTTCCTTCAACTTCAAAGCTTCGTCTAACCTTCTTGCTTCACAAAGACCATGCATGAGAATCGAATACGTGGCACTATTAACACCACAACCATCCTTCTCAGACATTAAATCAAACACCTTGTAGGCGTCACCAATTTCACCAGCTCTACAATTACCCAAAACCAAAGAAGTGTGGATATAAACATCCAACGGAAACCCGAGTTTTAGAACTCTGGAAACGAACATTTCGGCCGCCTGTACAAACCCATTCTTACACAAAGCATTAACAACCGTCCTGTAATCAATCCCACCCGCAACGAAACCATCTTCCGACATTCTCTTGAATACCAAAAATGAAACCGAACCCATATCTAATTTCGCCAAACACATCAAAAGCGCACTGTAACAAGGGTAATTAATCCGAAACCCGACATTTTCCCGCATGTCTTCAACAGCACCCATTAGCTTCAAAAGGTCATCTTGAGAAGTACAACACTCCTTAATCAACCAAACCAGCACTTTGTGCATAATTCCGTACGAATTATCGGAGGCCAATAGATACAGTAGCTGAATTCTGCTCTCCGTATCGTAGCAATAGGTTGATTGTTTGCAGACCCATTTGAAAAAGTCGACGCAGAGGGGAACATGATCCCTGCTATGGAGGCTTATGATTCTGGAAACAAATTGCGGGTTCGAGTGAGAAACGAGGGCTTTTAAATTGATGTTGTTTTGCCAGTCTGGTTGCTTGATCAGGGCCGAAACGTTGAAAACGGCGTCGTTTGAATGTTCTGAGTGAGGAGTAGTGCAAAGCGGTGAAAGGGAAAAAAGGGCATAAAAATGGGGTTTAGGAGAGAGAGATTGAAGGCTGATTCCTCGAAGCAACATACATGAGCTCAGGTGTATTAATGTGTGTGCGCGTGGGTGTGCGCGTGTGTGTGAAAGCACAGTAGAGGAAGAAGACGAAGATGGTGAAATGGGTTGGGTGAAATTCCCACCAGTTTCCCCCTTTATTTTCAAACCTTTGGGCTATTTTTTTTTTTTTTTCTTATTTTATATTTCAAATATTCTTATAAATTAAATTAAGATAACAAAAAATACAAAAAACACAAGCCTCCAACTGTTTTGCAGGTTAACGAGCGCACTAACCCCTTCGACTACCTTGAGACGTGTGGCAGTGACTCTCGATATTCTCTATCATTACGGGTTCAAAGACTCTTGGGTTGCCCAATCGATATTTGAGCATGATCATCAAATTATTTGGAACTCAAAAAAGTTGTTGGAAGTTATTTTTAAGATACATTGGTACCTATGTAGCATGAAAACTTCAACTTCTTAATGTTTTCGTGTTTTGGACAGTCTTTTCATGTCGGCCACTAGAGGATACCTACCAGACCCCCTTATGGGTCATTTTGCAATTTCCAAAAAGTTAGAAGCATGTTTAAATACGAAATTTTCAAATATTTTTTTATCATGAGTAAACCAGTGAAAAATACGCCGAAAAGTTCTTATGGGGCAAAATGCAACTATAACGAAATTCGGAAGGGGATAATCTCATTTTTTAATTTGTATGGGGGAATGCGAGAACTATAAATTTCTATGGAGCGAAGTGCATTTTGTCCTTTTGCTATATTTTTGCAGACAACATACACTTCGACCCCTATGAATTTCAGCTTTCACACTTCCTCCTCTACAAATTAAAAAATGAGACTCTTCCCTTTCAAAATTTTATCCTAGTTGCACTTTGCCCCAAATCACAATTTACAACGTAATTTTTGTCTGAATTCCCATTTATCCTTCCACTTCAAGGGCATCTGAGTCATTTCATCATTTCTGGCCAAATCCTAATATCCTTGTTTTTTCTAATACACGAAAAATACAATCCATTCACTAGGAAAAAAATTAGAAACTTTTTTCTCCCAAAAGGAATCGTGCCTATTTTGGTCCCAACATTGCGAGAATCTTCAGTTAGTCGCTATCATGGTGATCTGTCCCTAGAATGACGCAAATGCTCTTCAACTGAACGGATTCATTGCAATTCCAGTGAAAAATAAGTTGGAAATTATAATTTGGGCAAAACTACAATAGGAACAAAATTTTGAAGGGAGAGATCTTTCTTTTGAATTTGTAGGGGGGAAGTGAAAAAATCGAAAAATTTTAGGGGGTGCAATGCATTTTGTCCTATTTTCTTTTGAATCTGATATCCATCTATGTACCATCAAGCAAATCAAAATATTGCTATTATATAAAAGTTAAGACAAACACACGCAAAACCATAAACGGCCAATCAACAAACAAAATACAACATCAAGAACCAAATCAGCCACATATTACATCCTTTCGAATATTTATTTTATTAAAAAAAAATCACTTACGGCTCCACGATAATCTTACCGGTAGCATGTCCATCGATACTCTTAGCCCAAGCCTCTTCAGCTTTACTCAAAGGAAATTTAGAATCAACCACACTCTTCAACTTACCTTCCTTCACCAAATCAACAACATACTGCAAATTCTCCCCCTTCGGGATCAGAAGCAAAGGCACCAAACGCTTCTTCGAAAACGTCAGTTTCTTCACCGCAAAAGTCCACATGGCACTGGGGCCCGGCGTGATATCAACCACCTTCCCACTCGACCCCAAATTCGGCTCGAAAACCGACCAAGGAATAGCCGGTGCACAGTGAACCACACCGTCGTATTTCTTTCCCGACGGACTCGTAAGGGCGGCTCCTTCGGGGGTATTATAGTCAAGAACCTCGTCCGCCCCGAGGCTTTTCACAAAGTCAATGTTGCGGGCCCCACAGGTGGCAGTTACGTGGGCGTTTCCGAGCTTCGCCAGCTGGACGGCGTAGTGACCGACCCCACCCGAAGCTGCTGTGACGAGGATGTTTTTGTGGGGCCCGCTTTTGTCGAGCTTGAGACCAATGGATTGGGTTAGTGCCATGTGGGCGGTGAGCGCTGCGACTGGAAGGCTTGCGCCTTCGGCGGCTGATACTTCGGGTGGCCTAGGAACAGTTAGGTTTTCATTGGCCACTCCGTATTCGGAGAAACCGCCACCTGTCTGTTTTTTTTAAAAGATTTTTTAAGATAATTGTGTGCAATTTGTCTAAAGAGAAAACGTAAATAAGTTTTTTTAACACTTACAAGAGCACTCAGCATAGCAACAACTTTATCACCAGGTTTGAAGTTTTTGACTCCAGATCCGATTTCTACTACCTCTCCAGCCACGTCAGTAGCTGCCACAGAAAAAAACGAGGAAAAGGTGAAATGAAGAAAAGAATAAAAGAAATAACCATCTCAACAATCCAGAAACTTTAAGGCCTTGTTTGGTTGGTTTGGATTAGATATGATTGATTGATTAAATATGTGCACCTTATTTGATGTTCGGTTAGCCCAAAAACTTTTCGGGTTCCAATTGTGTATTGGGACTCCGTTAGTCCAATTACACAATCGTGTTCTCATAAGATTTTGTGTAATCGTATCTTGGCAACCAAACAAGGCCTTATGGTATTTCTGAATAACTATTTGCGTAAACTAATAAAAAGAAAGAATTTAGATACACGAATTACCTCAGATCCATCATCTCGACAAATTAAAACAGTTTTAATTGACAATCCCACAAACCATCATTCACAACTATAAACGGAAAAATGTAGGCCGATAGAATTCCGAATTGGAGGTAGTAAGCTTACTTGGTATACAAGGCAACTTGCGCGGAAGAAGAGGGCGAAGCATTCCTTTCTGAATCTTCCAATCAATAGGATTTATGCTCGCGGCTTCCAATTTCAACAACACTTCACCCTTACTAGGTGTAGGAACCGGAACTTCAACATGCTGCAATACAATAAATCAATCATTTTTTTTTCGGTGCGTAATTACGAACTAAATAGTATTTTTTTCGCAGCCCAAGTTCAATCGTTTCTCCACTCGGGTTCTCGAAACTGACATCTAACTGAATTTTAAGAAATTGCTCTCTTTTTTTTTTTCTTTTTTTTTTCATTTTATATCCCATCTTTTTTTTATTGATCCAAATTCTAAAGTAAACAGTCCATCAACTGGGTTTAGACACACACACACACACACACACACACATATAAATATAATTCAAGCAGCTAATTTACCAGATGGGATACAAAATTCAGTCTGCATACAAAATAAACTAGACTAAAAAAAACACAGTTTGACAATTAATTGCGGCTGAAAGGTAATTAAAAAGGATCTATTCTTCCAGAATTACTGGAAATTTCAAAGTCCCCCCAAATAAATAATATTAAAATATTCCACAATAGATTACTGTAGAAAAAAATTGACAGAAAACAGCAGCCAATAAACGCAAAACCCACCTTCAAACCTGCAGCACCACCGCCGTAACCTTCGTACTGAACCGCATGCATAAGCCTGCCCGCCATACCCAATTCACGAAATCCTCTAATTTCCGAGATTGCAGAGATACCAAAAACAAAAAATATATATATATATAGAATCGAGAAATAAATTGGAGAAAATAAAAGGATAAATAATTAAAATGACGTTCGAAAATCGGCACTAAAGCGGTGTGGAGCACAAGGCATTAATTAGGTGGCAAATTCACAATCAAGGCAATCGTTCTCATTTTCTTTTGGGTAAATTACGGCCACACCCTCAGATAATGTAAAAATTACGAAAACCCCCCATTCTTTGGATAATTACAATCATGAGAATCGAATACGTGGCGCTATTAACACCACACCACCACAACCATGGCTTTTTTTTTTTTTTCTTTCAGACATTAAATCAAACACCTTGTATGCATCACCAATGGATATAAACATCCAACGGGAAAAGAAACATTTCGGCCGCCGCCTGGACAAACAAACAAACCCATTCATTCTTACACAACGCGTTTGCACAGCTGTAGTGTAATAAATTCCACCCGCAACAAAACCATCTTCCGACATTCTCCTGAACCCATATATATATATATATATATATATATATATATATATATATATATATATATATATATATATATATATATATATATATATATATATATATATATCTAATTTCTCCTAGCTAACCAATCAAAAGCTGTAACAAAGGAAAATTAATCAACAAAATTTCATCTTGAGAAGTGCAGCACTCTTTGATCAACTAAACCAAACCAGCACTTTGTGCATAATCCCGAATGAATTATCGAACCGGAGGCCGATAGATACAGTAGCTGAATTGTGAATTGTTTGCAAACCAATTTGAAAAAATCGACGCAAAATGGAAATTTCCAGCTTATGATTCTGGAAACCCAAGTGCGGGCCGGGTTCGGGCTTTTAATTTTTAAACGAATTAATGTTGTTTTGCCAGTACAGTACTCTGGTTTGCTTACCATATATATTTCTTGAAACGAAAATCAATTTTGTCGATTTAATTTTGTTTGGTGCAAATTAGATCACTAAGTACATATATTGAAAATCAATGGTATATTAAAATTCATAAACCGAACCAACAAAATACAAATATCAAACGATAGATCTATTTGTGATCGATGGTTTCTTGTTCAGAAAAAGAAAAAAAAATTGAAAATCAAACTATGCTGTTATGGGGTTTCATCAGTGCCCCTCTTGTAAAAGGCAACTTCGTCTGCCGACCACCCCTCTATATATATCTTGTAATAAAAAAATTAAGAAAGAAGAAATTAATTAAAAAATAATGTACAGCTGTAAACTCACTTCCTGAATACTTTTGCTCATTTTTTACGCTAAGAAGCTCAAACAAGTACCGGTTGCCGTCGTCATCGTACACAGTTAATGTTTTGGACTTCTCGAAAGGATCCATTAGCTTCCGCGTTTTGAAAACAGTTTGTAAACTTGTAAGTGTTTCACCGTAAAACTTTTACCGTGCTTGTAAATCGAAACCTTTTCACCTGTTTTCAGATTGTGGTCTCTAGCAAATTCGGATCAACCACCGGTTATGTATAAGACATCGTAACATGCTGATCGTCCAATCATAGAAATCAACTTTTGTGTTACGGAGCCTATAAGCTTTATTTTTGTTTATAAGTTTGGATTGATTTACAAATATTTTTCTCTCATAATATATAATATATAGAAATCAACTTTTGTATTACGGAGCCTATAAGCTTTATTTTTGTTTATAAGTTTGGATTGATTTACAAATATTTTTCTCTCACAATATATAATATATAGTACTTCACATTCTTAATTGATGGTATGATTGATTTAATAATACTATAAGCTTTACTTTTGTTTATAAGGTTGGGTTGATTTATAAATATTTTTCTCTCATAATATATAATATATAGTACTTCACATTCCTAATTGATGCTATGATTGATTTAATAATACTATAAGCTTTACTTTTATTTATAAGTTTGGGTTGATTTACAAATATTTTTCTTTCATAATATATAATATATAGTACTTCACATTTCTAATTGATGATATGATTGATTTAATAATACGCTTGAGATTGATTCTAACAGCATTGTATATTCTAGTTACATTCTAGAATGTAAGTATAATTGAGAGGTTGCAGAGAGGTCTTAAAAATCTTTACAATTTGGTGACAAGTTTTTTGCTACAAGTCTATTTAGGACTTTGTCTTTGGGTTTTTTTCTTAAACCAAACGAACGCAACTAAAAAACAATCATACTCACAATTTTCAAGAACTAGACGATTGTTCAACAATGATGATGACTAGTTTAAGAAAAACTCATAAAGATGATGAGAAAATAGCAAATGGTTAAAAGCTCAAAAAAGTAAATGAATATATTTTTTAGTTTTTCAGCTCCTTAAACAGCTTGATGCTGAATAAAGTACGACACTTTTATAAATAAGATAAACTTAAAAAAATTTAATCAGTAAAAGTATTTTAGATGTATTATAATAACAATAAGGTAATGAATGAGTATATTTATCATACTCGTATTATTTGAAAATCATATGTATTCCAATTTTGTTCAAAACGATAAGGACCTACAAATCGATTTGTAGGGTTTTTTAACATGAAATTGGTTCCGTAATCGACCTACCCATTGCATATTACACCTAAAAGAGTCGAAATTACATCAAAAAATCGAAGCCTAACCTTTCTTCAAGCTTGATTTCGAATTTTCGAATTTTTTTTTTTTTTTTTTGCTATTTGTAGTTTTGGAGGGTTTTTTGATATTTTTAAAAGTTTTGGGGTTTTTTGTTATAAACCGCGAATAGCAATTTTGTGCCCGCAAATAACATTTCATTCAAAACATTCAGGAAACTAAAAAAAAATATTATTCTTTAGTAAAAATATTCAGATTAAAATCAGCCTAATTCTGAAATTTCGTTCCAATTTTCACCGCCAAGCACACCCCGGCTACGAGTCTATGATAAATGTGTTTCACAAATTTAAATAATTTTATGAGCCCAAATAATGGATGGCCCAGATTCATAAGCCCACTTCATCGTTACAAAGTGCAACGAACCACCGCCACCGGCGAACCGTCCGCCGTCCGCCACCAGCAATGATCCTCCTCTTACCTCGTTCCATCCGAGCCTCCTTGCTCCGCCACCTCTCTACCACCACCACCACTCTCGAAACCCCCACGCCGCCGACCCCATCCAATCCACCACCACCGCCGCCAAATCCACGCACCCGAACCCCACTAGAAAAGCAATTCGAGACATGGCTCCAAGCCCTCAAGCCCGGGTTCACCCAGCCCGACGTCGACGAAGCCCTACGGGCCCAGCCCGACCCGGACGTTGCCCTCGACATTTTCCGGTGGACCGCTCAGCAGCGCTACTACAAGCACGGCAACCTCACCTACCTCACGATGATCGAAATCGCAGTCTCCGGCAAGCGCTACGGCGCCGCCCAGACCCTAATCGAAGAAGTAATCGCCGGCGCCTGCCCCCCGAGCCTCCCCCTCTTCAACACCATGATCAAGTTCTGCTGCGGCCGCAGAATCCTCTTCAGCCGCGCCTTCGACATCTACAAAAAAATGCTGAAATCCGACGACGCGAAGCCGAATCTCGAGACCTACGCAATGCTGTTGAATTCACTCCTGAGGAAATTCGACAAGTTGAATGTGTGCTACGTGTATTTGCCCTCCGTCAAATCGTTAGCCAAGCAGATGAAGGCGTCCGGCGTAATCCCCAACACGTTCGTGATGAACATGATCATCAAAGCGTATTCGAAGTGCCTCGTGGTGGACGAGGCAATTAGGGTTTTCCGAGAAATGGGATTGTACGGCTGCGAGCCGAACGCGTACACTTACAGTTATCTCGCGAAGGGGTTGTGCGAGAAGGATAGGGTGAGTCAAGGGTTGGAGTTTTATAGGGAGATGAGAGGGAAAGGGTTGGTGCCGAAAGGGACTACTTATATGGTCTTGATTTGCGGCCTTGCGATGGAGAGGAAGTTTCAGGACTCGATCGAGACCGCATTCGACATGCTGGCTAATTCCATGTCGCCCGATTTGTTGACTTACAAGACCTTGTTGGAAGAAATGTGCAGAGATGGAAAGGGCGACGAGGCGTTCGAACTTCTTGATGCGTTTAGGAAACGGGACACTTTTATGAATGAGCGGACTTACAATACTTTGTTGAGCGCGCTGCACTTTCTAAATCGTGACCACTAGTTTGCTTTTGGGATGCCAGTTTTCGACAATCGAAATTACAAAGATATTTTATTCACCTTTAAAAATCGAGATTTTGATTGGATGTGGTGAAGCTTCTATCGGTGGACTAATTTTTGCATTCTTGTGTGCAATTGAGATCGTGGATCTCGATTTTCTTGTCTAGGCATATGAGAGGACACAATCTTTGAGTCGATAGCAGATACGGATGTTCCAAGTTCTTCGTAAGCAAGGCATGTCGACTTAACTTCTTGCTTTTTATTTCTCTCTATATTTTTGCTCGACGGATTTTCATTATAGCCATTGTCGTTGTTTCACTGTCTTTGGTAGCTATTAATGGATATTTTCTGAGATGTAATGAGTTCCTTTGTAGACTTTGATGTTTTATGTATGCGTATCTATTTTGCTTAATCTTACGGAGATGTAAATTTTCAACTACTAGTAACGAAATAATTATGCAATAGTTGCCTCACTATTCGATAATGAATACCTGCTGCAGGCAATTGTTTTTTCGTTTTTCCTAGATGGTCAATGTGTCATTTGGTTTGTCAAATCTCACAATTTCAATAGATTGTAGAAACCGAAACCGAAACCATTACGGAAATCCTACTTTGTTCCAACAAAAAAAAAAAAAAGGAAATAACCATTTAGTATTTCATCAAAGATCATGCTTAATACTAGACTATACATCCTGAATTTTCCAGCAAGAACCAATATCTACATGACAGCGTATAAACAACTAATAATAATAATAGTTATAATAAAATTAAAAAAAATTGATATACAGTATTGTTTTGTGACGAAGTATATAACACGATTATGCATATGTATTTCGCTCGTAAATCTCTTTTATCTTCACCTCCCAAATCCCCCATTAAAAATGTTCCTGAAACGAGCTTTTCTCTCTAACTACAAAGGCGGCTTCATATTGCTGCTGGAGTGATTCGTATTGAACGACATAGTTGATGACGTGTCCTCGTTAGCCTTCCATCTCTGCAGAGCCTCTGGTAGGCTCATATCAAGTTCTTGCCCGAAGCTGTCCTCGTCATCGGGGGCGGGCTTCCACTGCTCCACCAGAGTGGACAGCACGTTGACAGCATGGCTCATGTCTGGTCTTTGGTAAGACTCTCTGGCGGTGCAGTGGCCCGACAGCTCAGCAACTTTCCAGATGCTCTTGAAGCTGTCTTCGTCCATGGCTGACCGGAGAACAGGGTCCAGGTCAGCGATCACCGCCTCTTTGTCGTAGAGGAGCCGCCTGAACCATGTCACCAGGTGGCTCTTTTCGTCAGGTAGGGAGTCGTCGAGGGCTTTTCTGCCGGTGATTATCTCCATCAGGACCACACCGAAAGCGTACACGTCTACTTTTGTGGTAACTCTTCCTGTGGCTGTTTTTTTGATTTTTTTTATGGTAATTTCGGTGTTTGTTAGTTGAATGATTTTTAGATAAAATAGTTGATGGAAATGATATTATGCATAGCTATTTGTCTGTCGGGAAGTAAGATTTGTTGATCCTTTCGTTTTTTTCTTAATCAATTTGTTTGAAAAACTCCCCTTGTTATAAATATCAGCTAAAGCCCCGTATACTGCATTTTTTTAGCAAACATTATCTCCTAAATAGTGAGTTTTTATGGGGCAGTTTGATAAAAAATAAAAATAAAATTGAATCATAGGGGGGTTTTTGCTAATAAAATTATACGGGAAGTTTTTTTAGCAACTAGAGAAAATGCAGTGGTACCGAATGCAATAAACCCTTAAATTTTAATTAGTCGGATATATTATTAGAATTAAAAAATAAATAAAAAAATCAACGGATGGCTGAAAATGGCCAGTCTTTACTTAGCTTCACTTGTAACGAACTAAACCCCAGCTGAATGCCGATCCAAATGTAAAATCGTTAAAATCCCACTAAAACCGTAAATTTTAAAGATTTTACTCAGTCTTGAAGGATATCGCTTATATTAAAATTCTACTATGAGGTTAGTAACATCACCTAATCCTAGGATTTTTTTATGATCTTATGATTTCAATCGGGATTTTAACTACTATATGAGTCCTTTCGATTTTCGGAAAAAAAAGGTTATCAAAAATCAATTAATGCATTTGAATGATTTTCAGGATTTTACTCTCAATCTTGAAGGATTTTGCTTGTATTAAGATTCTAAGGGATTTTAATCACCATGCATGTAGAAACCAATACATACATACCTGCATATTCGGGAGCAAGATAACCAAAAGTTCCCGCTAACCGTGTCTCGACCGAGTAATTCCCATCAGGTGCCGATCGAACCAATCCGAAATCAGAAACCTTAGCCCTCAAATCATCTCCAAGAAGAATATTCGACGGCTTCAAATCCCTATGAATAAAGCTCTGCTGCGCCAAACTATGCAAATACTCGACCCCTCTCGCGACATCCAACGCCACAGTCACCCTCTGGTTCCAATTCAACGGAGGTATCCCCATTTCTTTCCAGTGAAACAAATGCTGCCCCAAACAGCCCTTCGGCATATACTCGTACACCAGAAGCCTCTCGTTCCCATTCTCGCAGAATCCGTGGAGTGCAACCAAGCTCCTGTGCCTGACTTTTGTAAGCACCTCGATCTCCGCTTTAAATTCGTGGAGCCCTTTGTCGCTGATTAACGACGACTCCATTCTCTTGACAGCTATTTCGGTGCCGTCGTGTAGCTGCCCTTTGTAGACGATTCCGAACCCTCCTCTTCCTAGGATGTTGTCTTCGCTGAAGCTGTCTGTCGCCACCTGGAGGACTTCGATCGGGATTATCACGTTCCCGCCATCGTATATATGGTAGTCGTTGCTGCCTTTTCCGTTGCTGCCTTTTTCGTCGCTACTTGCACCTGGGCTTTTCTGTTCGTCCTTGAACGGGTCGATATTAAAGCCCGTCGTTTTCTTGCTGCTGAAAGATCTGTATTTTTCGTTTTGTCTTTTTAAGTAGCGTTTGTAGGCGAAAAATCCCAATACTGAAAACACGATAACGAGCAGAACGACGGGTACAATTATCACCCATGGTGAAGTGGAGGAGCTTGCTCCTCCACCGTCTGAGCCGCCGCTACCTGAAGATGAAGTTCCCATCCCGGGAGGTGGGCTAAGCGGGATGTCTTTTCCGATGAGTAAATTTCCGGTGAGTTTGACTGTAACGGAGGAAGAAAACTCCGGCACTTTACCGGAGATGTTATTATTAGTGAGATCAAGAATCTGCAGCTGGGTCAAACTTGTCAAGCTCCGAGGTATGGTCCCGACGAGACTATTATCGTTCAATAATAAAGATTTCAGATTCGTCAAATTGGCGTACGCGGGCGATATTACCCCTGTCCAATTCTGCTTCGCGAAATTGACGATCGTCACACTCCCCTTATCGCACGTAATAAACGTCCATTGTTGGCAAGCGTTGTTTCCGTCCCAAGTTTCGGCCAAGGCCATGGGGTAGTTCATCGCACCCGCCGCCTCGAGCAAGGCGGTGACTTGAGGGTCGCAAGGGCCCGGTGTAGAGAGACAGAAATTGTTTTGGTTGCCAAGATTCACTTGCACGCCCGTCGAGAAACTCGGCATCGGGCCTTGGAATTTGTTGTTCTGTAAAGCGACGGTTTGAAGCTTGGGAAGCTTAGTCAGCGAATCGGGGATTACTCCGGTGAGGGAATTGTCTCTGAGCTGGAGATCGGAGAGTTCGGTGCATCCAGAAAGATCCGGAATGGGCCCGGTGAATTTGTTCGATTGGAGCCAAACGCTTTGCAGAGCTGTCATTGTACCGAGGAGGTATATGCCTCCGAAAAATCCCGTTCCTTGACTGTTGAGCCATAGGGTTTGGATGCCTGACCTGGCGAACGAGACGGGCAACGTGCCCGTCATGTTGTTGTATGAAAGACGGAGGATTTGGAAATTCGGGAGGGAGTTGAAAATATCGGGGATTTGGCCGATTATGTTCGCCTTGCTGGCGAGGAAGCTTGTTAGGGAGGTGGAATCTTGGAGGGTGGTGGGAATATTCCACGGGGGGAGATTTGTGTTGTTGTTGATGCTGAACGATTGGAGGCTTGTGAGGCCGGAGAGGAAATTCGCCGGGATGGAGTCGAAGGCGTTTTCGTCGAGGTAGACTTGTTCGAGGGTGGGCATGTTGGAGAGGGGCGGCAGTGGGCCGGAGAAGTGGTTGCGTTGGAGGCTGAGGGAGCGGAGGGCGGAGAGCTGGTTGATCTCCGGCGGGATTGTGCCGGAGAGGGATTTGGAGGAGAGGTTGATGGAGGTGACTTTTCCGGCGGGGTCGCAGCTCACGCCTTGCCATTTGCAGAACGCGGCGCCTGTCCATGTGGGTGGAGGTGGGGTGATGGATTTGGCTAACGCGGCCATTACGGATGCGTCGTCGGCAGAGATGCGGTGGAGGAGGGCGGCGAGTAGGAGGAGGAGGAGGATGAATTTGTGTCGCGATTTTTTAGGCATTGCGGTGGTGGTGGTGGTGGTTTGGGGTTTCCGGCGGTGGTGGAAGGTGGTGGGCATGGTGACTCTGTTTTTTTTTCTCTCTCTCTCTCTCTCACTCTGCATACCCACCTGGCATATGTGTGAGGAAAGAGGGGGGTGGAGAGGGCGGAGGGAAGAACAAGAGAAGCGGAAGGTGAGACCGTTATTGGTAGTTGATTTTGACCAAATAAACTATTTTTATTTTTTTTTATTTTTTTTAAGGGTAAATTACAAACACCCCTGAGGTATGCTTAAGTTACGAAAACTCCCTTCATATTTGGATAATTACAACTACCCCAACTGTGAATTTTCTTACACGTCCATCCCTATGATGTCAAATTCAACATAATCCTCTCTAGTTTGTAGTTTGTACTTGTTTTGTGTATAAATACAGTTTCTGATGCACCACAATCTGATATATACAAGTCCAAAAACACATCTTATGATCATTTTGCTTCAAAATGTGGAACTCGAATGTGATAAAACGGGTATAAAATTGAGAATATTCTATATAATTTAAAAGACTCCACTAAGTTTGAAATCGTAAGTATGAACGTGTAAGAAGATTTATAGTTAAGGAGTGGTTATAATTACCCAAACAGGAGGGGGTTTTCGTATTTGGTTTGTAATTTACCCTTTTTAAAACATATAATGATTTTATAAATTTTTTATTTTTACTGTGTTGTTCACTTTCAGTTTTAAAAAAAACTTTTGGGGGGGCAGACACGGCCACGGGCCGGTTCCGGGCTGGTTCATACCGGTTCACGATTCACTTTTTCTGGAACGGAACCAGTCCGTAATATGCACGGTTCGACGGGCTGGGACGGCCCGCCAGTTCGGGCCGGTTCCGGGCCTATCTGGGGCCTATCCGGGTCGGGGCGGAAAATTTGATTTTTTTTTAAATTTTTTTTTGAAATATTTGATGAATAAGTAAATAAAAATTGGGGTGTAAGGGTATTTATAGGAAAAAAATGTGTGTGTGTGTGTGGGGGGGGGGGGGGAATTAAAAAAAAAGCTAATAACGGTCGGTTCACCCGGGCCGGTTCACTAACCGTTATTTGCTTTTTTTTTGATTTTTTTTTTTTTAAAATAGTGGTTAGTTGTTATGGGGAAAACAAATAAAAAATTATTTGTATAAATATTTATTTGTAATTGTATTTTTTTATTTATTTTCTTATGTATTTCCTCAATTACAAAACTAAAATGGTAGATTAAATAGGTCAACTTTCTAACACGTTGTCACCAAGAGGTGCTCGTGGTGATGTAGAAAGGAAATCGTCTCTGGGATGAAAATACCTAGAGAACTTGTGAGCATGTGAGAAACAGTGATGTCGGAAAACGTATATTATTCTTCGTAATAAGTGGATTTAAATGTTTCAACTTTCAAGTAAGCCTTAATTAATCACTAATTTCGTTCTCGCAAGGAATAAATTTGATGGCATAAAATGTATGAAGTATAATTTATTTTGAAGTTTTTACTTCATTTATATTGTGACTATCTTCATATTATGATATATACCGAGTAATCTTTATTTTATAAATAGTGTAATTAAATGTCTTCATATTTCATATAATGATTGCTCGGAACATGTGAAATGATTTCTTACTCTCTTATATATATAATAATAATTATTATTTTAATTAAATAACAAATATGACATTAAAATTCTTAAGTTGCCCTGTCGTTTCTTACTTTTATATATTGTAGAATTACGTAATCTAATATATCTCGAATGCCTATGAGTTCTTTTATAAATAAATAAATAAAATGGCAAAAAAATGTGTAAAATTAAAACTTTTTTTTTTAATTTTGATAAAACTTACAAATAAAGTTAAATTAAATTTCTGTAAAATTTTATTAATTTAGTAAAATATTAAATTATCGAAATTAATAATTTAGTAGGAGATATTAATTTGTCGAAATTAGACGGTAGCTCGAAAATTAAGATATTGATCGGTTCAATTTCATTTCCGTACACATTTCATCTGTGGAGTGATCCTGACCTTCCGTTGCAGACCGCCGAAACCCTTGCGGGGACACTTCATAAGCCCCTCTCTCTCTCTCTCTCTCTCATCTCTTTCTCTCTCTAGGCATTCACTTACACTATCACTGCGTCATCTTCCTTAGCCCGTTTCTACAGCTATTAATGGAGGACGATTTCGATATTCCGGCGGCGGAGGGGATGGATGATTTCATGGATCTGCCGGGGGAGGGCGGCTACATGAAAGTCGGCGAGGAGAAGGACATCGGTAAGCTAGGTTTGAAAAAGAAGCTTCTTAAGGAAGGCGAAGCCTGGGATACTCCCGATAATGGCGATGAAGTTGAAGGTAGTAAATTCGTACTTTACTTCTTTTTTAAATTGAATTTATTTAAGTAGATCATTATATAGATTGTTCATTTTTTTTATTTTTTTATTTTTTGGATTGATTGTGTTTTGGATTGTTGAGGCGTATGTTGACAAAGTGTTTGTGGAAATGTTTTCAGTTCATTACACTGGAACTTTGCTTGATGGGACGAAGTTCGATTCGAGTCGTGATAGGGGAGAGACGTTCAAGTTCACACTCGGCCAAGGTTAGCATTACTCGTTTTGATTAATGATTTATATTCAATGCTCGGATGGATACGCGACGTTGTTTGCTTTAAGATGTTAATAATTAGTATCGACTTTGTTTTTAAGTTGAGGCAATATTATATGCTGAAAAGGACAGTATTACGATGTTTAACGTAGAATTCGTAAAAACACATGCCCGTACACACTTCATGTAATGCTTGCAAAATTGTTGGAAGCTTTAGTATGTCAATAGCTATGTTGGATGACGTGAAGTTTGTTATACGCGCAAATGTCAGCCATCTCGGCTGGTTAGAATAGAAACTGAGCTGTTAGATTTTAGTCGATGTTCAAATCTTTGACGATGGTCGTGATTATAATTTTCTTGGATAGAAATACTGTAGTTGAGTACGCCTTTCGGTATATTGTAAAGCTTTCCTTGTAAATAGTTATTGTAAAAGCTATTAGATTACATTATTGAATCTAGCTGCCTATTGTACTTGTGGATGATTGGGTGGATCGTATTTTCATTTTGTGTTCCAAGCTTGGGAATGCATTTCATCTGAATTGGGGGCACGATCTTAGTATTATTGAGAACCAAAAAATTGCTATGATTTTGTTACGTTATGACTTAGTCGTGCGATTTTCTAATGTTATGACTGAATATTCCCGGCCATATTTGCACTCTAGAGTGTGTATCTAATCATATCATTCTGGGTAAAGTAAATAACTTTAGTTGGAGTTTATTGGTTTTGCCTTGTGAGTTTTAACGAAAATGCGTTTGACGAGCTTCAGTTGTTTACAGGACAAGTCATCAAAGGATGGGACGAAGGTATCAAAACAATGAAGAAGGGTGAAAATGCCATTTTCACCATACCACCTGTGTTGGCATACGGTGAATCCGGCTCTCCTCCGACTATCCCTCCAAATGCCACTCTACAGTTTGATGTCGAATTGCTTTCCTGGGTAAGTATTAAGGATATCTGCAAGGATGGTGGCATATTTAAAAAGATTCTCAAAGACGGAGAAAAGTGGGAGAACCCTAAAGACCCTGATGAAGTTCTCGGTATGCAAAAAATATGTTCCTTCTAAAGACAGTAAATTTGATGTTACGTTGATTATTATTGCTAACTCTAGTGTCTCGTGTATTCCAGTTAAGTACGAAGCACGGCTCGAAGATGGAACCGTTGTTGCCAAATCGGATGGAGTTGAATTCAATGTTCAAGAAGGTATGTGTTTCTGAAAGATTATACGGTTAGGAAAATTGCTCGTGTTTGTATCGAATTTCAATTAACAAGTTGTCGTGTCCAGGCTATTTCTGTCCTGCTCTTTCCAAGGCTGTGAAGACCATGAAGAAAGGCGAAAAGGTCCTTCTTACCGTCAAACCTCAATGTAAGAAGAGGCTTCAATAAATTTTCATCGAGACCAATATTGGAAATCTGTTATCTCCTGCATAAAAAAAATCTCATTTCTTACAGATGGGTTCAGCGAAAAGGGCAAGCCAGCCTCTGGTGATGAAAAAGCTATTCCACCAAATGCTTCATTAGATATTGTTCTGGATTTGGTTTCGTGGAAGACTGTTTCCAATGTCACTGATGACAAGAAAGTTGTCAAGAAGATACTGAAAGATGGGGAGGGATACGAGCGCCCGAATGACGGAACTGTTGTTAAATGTAATAACACGAACACATATTTTTTTCTTGGGTTTTGTTATTTCAAGTTTCAATTGTTTACTTTGTTGGCTAATCGTGTTCAAATTTGTCCCCAGTGAAATTGATTGGAAAGCTGCAAGATGGCACTGTCTTTGTTAAGAAAGGCCATGGGGGCGATGATGAAAACGATCTTTTTGAATTTAAAACAGATGAAGGTACATTTTTATTTGATTTTTTTTTTCGTTGTACAAATATCTTATTTGCGTCCACATTTTTCTGATTCTTTTTAACTCTTTTATGTGTTCAGATCAAGTTATTGAAGGATTAGACAAGGCTGTCGCGACAATGAAGAAGGGAGAGGTAGCAGTTTTGACAATCGACCCACAGTACGCATTTGGTTCGTCCGAGTCAAAACAAGATTTGGCCGTAGTTCCTCCAAACTCGACCGTGTATTACGATGTTGAGCTTGTCTCATTTGTCAAGGTTAGTTGATTATATCTCTCCTCCATGAACAAATTATTAGGTACAATGTATTGAACTTGTCCGTTCGTGTTTTAGGAGAAGGAATCTTGGGATATGAATACAGAAGAAAAAATCGAAGCTGCTGGTAAGAAGAAAGAAGAAGGGAATTCACTGTTCAAGGCTGGCAAATATGCGAAAGCCTCAAAGAGATACGAGAAGGTAAACATTTTGGAAGACCGTGTCCTTTTTTTTTTTAAATGCAACATGAAATATCTGTTTTGCCTTTGTGCTTACGTGACGAACATTGGAGCAGGCTGCCAAATATATCGAACACGAGACTTCTTTCAGCGACGAGGAAAAGAAGCTGTGCAAAGTACTGAAGGTTTCTTGCAATTTGAACAACGCAGCATGCAAGTTGAAACTGAAAGACTATAAGCAGGCTGAGAAGCTTTGTTCCAAGGTTCGATCATTAGATTGATTATCGTTTCCTTTTGTTTCGATACATTTTATCATTAAGATGGAACTCTTAAATTGGTATACGAAGTTGGACTAATGAAGAATTTGCCTCTTGCAGGTACTGGAACTTGAGAGTACAAACGTGAAGGCATTGTACAGAAGAGCTCAAGCATACATGAATATGGCGGATCTTGATGTGGCTGAATTTGATATCAAGAAGGCACTTGAACTCGACCCGGAAAACAGGTTAATCGAAACTCCGAGTTCTGTCTCGATAACTGGTTTCTGATTCTATCGCAATTCTGACCTCTTTTTGTTTTTTAATTATGTGTTATGGAAATAGGGAGGTGAAGCTGGGATACAAAGCTCTCAAGGAGAAGATGAAGGAATACAATAAGAAGGACGCCAAGTTTTACGGAAACATGTTTGCCAAATTGAAATAGATGCAGCCCATATATGATGCTGAAATGTAAGCTTCACTCTCGTAAAGTTCTAATTAAATGATCGAGACTGCTTCGTTTTTTATGTCGTTTTTTGGGTGGATTCTGCAGAGAACACAGATCCTAAGAAGGCAGAAACCAGTTAGCATTGACATTGAGTAAAATCTTTAACTCCATTTACTGAAATCTTTCCCATTTTATTTTTCTGTTTTTTTTTTCCGGCCACTTTGTTTACTTGGATCTTGATAAGTGGCTCAAATATGAGTCGGGATCGATGGAATTTAAGCCTGTTAACTGTTCCTGTATTTCGAACGTAACTGAACTCTTAAATTATGAGTAGAATGATAAAACTCTTAAATCCTTTTCCTGCATTTTATGTTCTGGAGAAGGCAATGGGTTTTTAACTTCTAATGTTCAAGTCAAGTGAAGTCATAATTAATTAAATAATTCGATTTTATTTAGTGTTTAAACCAAAAACAAAAAGGAAAAATTATTTTCGATGGCAATTTTTAACTAAACTAATTAGTAATATTGATTTAAAAATTATAATATAACGAATATATGGCATACTGGTTATAATCAATAAAATTATTTACTCATAATTATATTTTCGCTGGTAAATTATTTTACTGATAATTTTTTGAATCATAAAGCCAAAAATGAAAAAAAAAGTTAAATAATATTTTACTTAAATACATAAAACATCACTAAGGAATATTTATTTTAAATATATAAGTAAACAGCATTATTAAGCCCTAAACCCTTTTGAGCCATCTCGCTCACTCCACTTTGAAACCAAACAAGTGCGCCAGAAAAAAAAAAAAAACAGTACAGAACTTCAGGCACACGGCCATGGATTCCGGCGGAGAACGGTTAACGGCGTCGGAGATCCATACGGAACTCGCCTCCTTGCAGACGGCCAAGGCGGCAATCGATGAACGCATATCAACTCTGGAATCTCTGCTAAAAAATATTACCACGGAAGACGAAAGCGAGACCGCTTCCTCTACTCCGGCCGCTGCAGAAACGCCCCTCACCGGCCAATTGACGGCTGATATGATCTACAGATACAGCCGCCATCTGCTTCTCCCTTCCTTTGGAGTTGAAGCTCAGTCAAATCTGTTGAATTCGTCGGTTTTAGTTATCGGAGCCGGCGGCTTGGGCTCACCTGCTCTGCTTTACCTTGCCGCCTGCGGTTTTGGTGCGTCTCGATTATGCGAATACTTCGAATACTAGTTGTTATCTTGTAATTGTTTCTAGTTTTGGAGATGTTTTCTTTTGATTTTCCTTTTTTTATTTGGACGGGGAAATATGACTGTTTCGAGTTTCCGCATTTTTTTTCAGGGCGTGTTGGTATCGTTGATCATGATGTGGTGGAGCTTAACAATCTGCACAGACAGGTAATTTAGAAACAATAGAACTTTGATGTATTTCTGTTGCAACTTATTTAAAAGAAACAATAGAGAATTGCAATTAGGCACTTATATATAGTCGAGGCATTTGTCGTTCCCCGACACCTTATGCAATTTGAAGAATATAACAAAGAAGCCGGAAATCACAAACAAGTGTTGGAAAATGCAATTAAAAGCATTTACCATTTGCGTACTAAGAGCATTCCTGATTAATCGAGTTTATGCATTTTATTTCGAGTCTATTTCGTTCAATGTTTAGAAACTTGTCTAGGAGTTCTTCTTCATTTAATATTAGCTAAATCTTGGTTATAAATCTAATAAAGCATGTAATGAATTTGAGTATATAGAGTACAATAACTGAAAAAAATACAACAACTGTACCACTTGATTTGCCATTGTGTGCTTGAATTATCATGGGACTCGTTACTAATTCGTGTCATTGTTTTCTAGATAATTCATACTGAAGCATATATTGGAAGATCAAAAGTAGAGTCTGCTGCTGCTACATGTCGCGCGTATGCTTCTTGTTCATTTTCTTATTGTATTTCTCTACTTCAGTGGAGTGATAAAATAGTACTTTTTGCTCATTTATTTTAGAAGTCACAGGTCGGTTTCATGTTAAAATATCATTGTTTTACCTCTTATATATTGTAATATTGTTTCTGCAGGATTAACTCTACTGTCCGAATAGTAGAGCACAAGGAAGCGTTCCGTACGTCAAATGCCTTGGATATTATGAAAAAGTACAACATTCTTTCCCTTTACTCATTTCCGCGTATGGTTTATATATTTTGTTGAGACTTGAGAGTCGAGCCGAATTTCATATTTTGGGCTTTTCGTGTATTACAGGTATGACATTGTCGTAGATGCAACTGATAATGCACCTAGTCGTTACATGATCAGTGATTGCTGTGTTGTGCTGGGAAAGGTGATGAATTGTTTGCTATATCATCTCTTGAGAGAATTGTTTAGTATATTTTCATGATATCAAGAAGTTTCTTTTCTAACTGCCTTCTCTTTAAATTTGTAGCCTCTGATTTCTGGAGCTGCACTCGGACTAGAAGGACAGGTGTACTTTTGGGGCAACACATTACTTTCTTGGTTATTAAGACAAACTTGTATTCTAAGCTAGTTGTTGTTTGCTTCAAATTAAGTATTACTTTTGCTGTTTGGCTATATTATTTATCGAACCCCATTTGCTTATGCAGCTCACTGTTTACAATTACAATGGAGGTCCATGCTATCGATGCCTATTCCCTACTCCACCGCCGACAACAGCATGTCAAAGATGCGCAGATAGTGGAGTCCTTGGAGTAGGTATATATTGACCACGTGGCACCTTGTACTAATCGTTTTAGAATCATTTTGAAGTATATGAATTATCATACATTATATAGTGACATGACTAAAAAAATCCTTACAACGTGGCCTTACAACAACACACACATGGGATGGGATCGAACCTAGACAACGTTGTTGGTATTATATGGTGAAATGGTTCTTTCTATTCTTTTATTTTTCTTTTTTAATTTAAATTTTGGTTAGAAATTGATTTTAAAGCATTATAGTCGTTAGGGACCTTAGGGTATTACAAAATATTGTTTTCTTTCTCCCTTTCATGTCTTTCTGTTTTCTATATATTTTTATTTACTTAGTTATTTATCGTAATTTTGAGCAGATTGATGTTTAGTTTCCATTGTTATTTATTTGTCTTGTCTATTTTGTAACACAGTTCCCGGCATTATTGGGTGTCTCCAGGCCCTAGAGGCTATAAAAGTTGCAGGTGCAGTTGGAGAACCACTCTCAGGAAGGATGCTTCTGTTAGATGCTCTTTCTGCTCGAATTCGTATTGTATGTCTGCTATCTCCTTTCTCTCGAGTTTATATTCCATTTTTTCCTCAACTTTTCGATATAAAGAGCATTTGACTCTCTCAATGCATAATGGTGAAAATTGGAAGTCCGATTCCGATCCGGAAATTTCCTATTTTGGAACAACATTTTTCATTCCGAATTCCAAAAGTTCCGATTTCCGATTTTTCCAATTTTCTTGCAATGGAATTGGAATACATATTATATTCCGGTTTCCAATTTCCGATCCAATTTTATTTCTGAAAATATTTATCGAAAATTCCCGATTATTTTCCAAAAATTACACTTATCATATAAAGATTATTATATATTTTATGTTATAGGTGACTAAAAAAATGAAATTTCGGAGTTATGCTGACTCCGATCCAAAAATTTCTGAATTTGGACTGAGTTTTTCCATTCCGATTTCCAATTTATCAATTTTTTTGGAACGAATTGGAATTAGTTTTTCACTTTCGGAAAAAAAGGAATTTTTCTGAAAGTGCCAATTCCGCTCCGTCCCATTTCCACCCCTAATACTGGTTTTGTTATTTGATTTTCTTGCCTGTTTTCCATAAAAAAATAGTAATGCTACCTCGCAATACACATTTCATAACTCGAGTTTGTTTGCCACAAACGTGTCCCAGGTCAAAATCAGAGGGAGGTCATTACAGTGTGAAGCATGCGGAGAAAATGCACCAATGACAGAAGAGCAATTTCGTAATTTTGACTACGAAAAATTCACTCAGTCTCCACTATCCACGGTATATATCTTCTTCGTTAAAATCTCTTTTTTTTTTTTTTCTTTTTTTGTTTTTTTCTCGTACACCGTATAAATTCGCATGATTCTACAATCCTTCAAAAATCGTTGCAGTCTCCACTGAAGTTAGACCTGCTTCCGGAAGATGCTAGAATAACAAGCAAGGAATATTACGAGAAAAATATAAAAGGCGAAGCACATGTGTTAATAGATGTGAGACCTGCTCATCACTACAAGATTATCTCTCTCCCAAATTCTTTAAACATTCCTCTTTCGAGTTTGGAACAAAGGTTGTCTGAAATATCTGAAGCATTGGGAAGAAAAGAGGAAAGTGCTTCTCTGTATGTAGTTTGCAGGAGAGGCAACGATTCGCAGAGGGCTGTACAGTACCTTCGTGGGGCGGGATTTAATTTAGCGAAGGATATTATTGGCGGGCTTGAGTCGTGGGCACACGACGTGGACCCGAAATTCCCGACCTATTAAAAGAAGAAAAAAAGGTACTTATTTTTAACATTATTGTATAACTGTATAACATTATTTCACTAATACTAACATTATTTGACATTTGATGCTATGAAGCAGCCCCCTTTTTTATATATAATTTTACATGGCTCTACAAATGTGCAATGAAAAAATAAAATTCACTACATTCTCATTTTCATGTTGGACTCAGGATATAAGAATCTGACTATTTGTTTTTAAGTGATAAATAATTGGGCAAATTATGGCCAACCCCCAGGGTAAGCTCACCCCCAGGGGTAAGCTCAAATTACGAAAAAATCCCTCATATTTGGATAATTACAACCACCCCCCTCAACTATGTATTGTCTTATGAAAAACCCCTTATTCAGCATGTAAATTTGAAACCGTAAGGGTGGATGTGTAAGACAATTTATAGTTGAGGGGGGTGATTGTAAATATCCAAACATGAGGGTCTTTTTTGTAATTTGAGCATACCTCGGGGGTGCCCGTAATTTGACCTAAATAATTTGGTACAATGTCAGTAGCTTGATTTGCTTCCATTGGGAGATTTTATTTAAGTAGATTATGGGTATTGAATAAAGATTATGCCAGCCATAAGATTCATGCACACTAATTATATATCTAATCATGAAGATTAACAGGTAATATTGTTTTTAATGTCAATGCAAAGGGATCTTAACAAGATTGTCTCTGCTCTATAAAAAGTTCCATGTGCTTATTTGATGTTATTTTAGTACCAAGTTGTTCAAATTCTTGCATCTTCTCTCTCACTCATAAAATAATTTAAGAAACAGAAAATAATGGTACCATAAGAAAATTATTGGGCAACAATTTTATTTATGTCGCATGATGTTTTTAACCCCTGAAATTTCAATAATTGAAGTCCCCGGTTGAAATTAGCTGAATTTTGGGTTTTCACGGGCAGAAAAATGACTTTTTACTACAAATATTTTTACTACATTAAAAAGATGTTATTTTGCTATAGTGACAATCTAGGGGTCGTAGTAATTGCTAGGATTTGCTGTAGCAAAAAAATATTTGCTACGGCCGTTTACCGTAGTAAAGTTTGTCACTTTCGTATTCACTATAGAGAGTCTGTAGTAAAATTGTAGCTCTCACCAATTTGTGTCAGAAAATAGTGCATTCAGCACATGCACTCACGACATTCGATTATGGACAACCTATACCCGAGCCTTCCCATATGGACAATTAGTGTCAAACTCAGACTAACAATAACATCTTAAGATAAAAGACTAACAATAACATCTTAAGATAAAAGACTAACAATAACATCTTAAGATAAGGACTAAGAAAATATAAAGAAAATTTGAACAAAATATTAAATAAAGCATGAAGAGTTGAGACCCCAACGAAAAGCCTCAACAGCCCTAATAAAAGCATTAAAGAAGATTAGCCTTATCTCATTCTTAAATGTGTTACCTTATCCATTAGTATCTAAGGTAGGCCCCCCCCTACCCCCACCCCAAAAGAGAGGGGCAAAGTAGGGGTGTTTGGAAGTATTGGGGGGTCACATACATATTAATATAAAATTATAATGGGGTCAATTGGGTTTTAGGTTATAATCAATTGTCCAAATTCCAATCCTTCGTGTCAAAAGTTTTCTTATCACTCATCAAATCAAGCCCCTATGATTCACTAACATGGCCATATTATTCTGCCACGTCACTACCCCATCAACCTAATATTTATTTTAATTACATATTTTAGATAGGAGAAAATTGAGGTGTTCATTGTGCATTTGTACTCGATTTGTTAAAAAAAATTATTTTTATTTTTTGATAATAAAGAAACCCTAATTAAAAATGTAAGTGACAAGTTCGATACAGCTTGGCAAGATAATGAAACTAAGATCCAAAATATAATTCAAACTAAGATCAATTGATACATACTTATTTGCTTCTATTGCTAGTTCATCTTTGCTTTGATTGTACTATAATAAAAGCCAAAAGGTACGAATAGTTTGGATTGTACTCCTTTCAAAAGATCTATCTACTCCATTTGTTTTAATTGTACTACTGTAAAATATAAGGATTGTTTTTAATTGTACGTCTTGAATTTATTTATCTTTTTATGATTTACATTTATATCGCTATGATAAAATAGGTTGCTCTCAGACCTCAGTGGTTGATTTCTAACGATAGTTGTAATTATACATTATAAACTTTATATAACATTCTATAAATTGTATGGTTTCGTAGAACTTGCACCTGATGAAATACACTATGTAGTTTTACATCACTGATCTAAAAACGCATAATAACACATACATGTATGTGTGTAATGAGTAGTTAGAACATATAATGACACACATATGTATACGTACTTAATGAATAGTTTATTTATATCGTGAGTGCTTAATAGGCCGTTGAACACATAATAAAACACATATGTATGCGTGATTAATGAATAGTTATTTAAGTCGAGTTGCGGTCCAAATGTTGGTGTATTTGAACAATGTTGTTTGATCACATCGGTAGTTTGAAGATATCTATCTATGAGTGACATCAATAAAATTGAAAGGATGAAATGAAAATACAGATATGGCAAGGGGCACAAAATCTTTTTTTCCGGATTATGTGTCGATTTACCCAATTTATTAATTAATTTTTAAAATAAAATAATCAGTAAATAAATATAATTTGGAATATAAATTTGAGCCAGAGCAATGGAATATAATATTATTTGCAGAGAGGCACAAAATCTTTTCTGGATTATATGTCTGCACGTGAAATCATAGATAATCTGCGCCGCCATGTGTACAACGTGGATTTGCCGCGTTACACTTTACTTATTTGTATAATTAATATTCAGAAATTCAAAATTAATTCCAAAATTTACACCAGGCACAAAATTCTCTAATTTTTTTAATAATTAATTAATTGACACAGGATTATTAATTAATTATTATTTAAAATTTTAATATCCCAATCCTAATAATCATCTCGTACGGGTGGTCGATAGTAGTAAACGCCCGCCGTTAACGGCGGCGTCGAAACCAACGGCGCGGCACTTGACGCCGTAACTCCGATTCACCGGCTGCGCGGATGCAAACGTCGCCGGAAACACGTGCGTCGTGCGGCGGAACGGACCGAGCCACTTGTTCTGCATGAAGCGGTTCTTCCTCCACGGCGGCAGGTGGAGGCCTCTGCTCTTCAGCGACCGCCTCGCGGCGTCGCTCACCGCCTTCGATATTTGCTTCAAATCCTCGCCGGTGCCGACGAAAACCCTAGGCATGTGCTGCATCAGGCGTTCGTAGGGTTCCGTCGGCCTCGCGATCTCGAACTCCGCCGCGAAATCCAGGTCTATAAAGTACCTCGCGGAATTATTCTCCGCCCGGAGAACGTCGATGAACTCGTAGTTTCCGGCGGAAAGTCCGCCGGAACCCTCCCACTTGGTGCTGCAAATCGCCGCATTGTAGCCGCAGTTCCGCAGGTACGCCATCACATTCCGGCGCACAATCTCCCTACTCGATCTCGCGCACGAGAAAACCTGCACCGCCTTCCAAACGTGAGCCATGAGCGCCTTCTTATACGCATCTCTCAGATCTAGTACAACCGACTTAATCAAACACTCCGCAGCACCACACGCGCTGCCGCCACCAAATTCGTGCATCGACGACGTCGTATCGCCGCCCTCGCAATCGTCGGGGGATGAACCGCCGCCGCTGTCGTCGTCAGCATTTAACCCTAAGAAGAGCTCCGAGAGGCTCGAGAAGGCGTCGTCATCGTCCGATTGGGGGCTGCAATTGCCACCGCCGCCGCTGCTGAAGTAATCCGATCCCCGGCCGACGATCCGAGCTCTGGCCTCAGCATCTAACGGATCTGTAACTCTCTTCATCTTCGTGAAACCAGACATTGGGTTTTTGGTAATTATGGAATCACGGAGCTTTGTTTTTGGTCCGATGATGGATGGGGTTTAATTTGGGGGTTAAGAGGCTCTCTTTTTATAAGGAGAGAGAGAGCCGAATGTTTCAGTCATTAAAATATTATTAATATATTAGCATTTGAAAAGAATATTCGAAACTAAAATTATATCTATATAATAATAAAAATATAAATAAAAAAACTCTTTTATATAATTTACCGGGTTTGGTACGAGAACTTTCGAGTGCAGTTAATATAAAGCATATACCAGTGGATTATTCTAGCTAAACATGGTCCGACTACGTGGACGAATACTAGTGGGCCACTTGGCCATACGTGACACGTGTTGTTGTAATAAGATTTCTATTTATATTACGTGAAACATGCACTACGTCTTTTTTATTTCATTAAATACATAAATAAGTGGAATATTTATGAGTTTTATCTAATTAGTACTCAAGTTTAAACTATAATATTTTATATTTTAATGAAAATTTTATAAATTTATATAGGAGTATAGAAAAAAATTGAAAACACCAACAAAGTATCGCGAATATTGACCTAATTCATTTTTTTCTTCTTCTAAACCCCTTAGCATTTTGCATTTTGTTAGCATCACATTATTACAATTTACAAATATTGAAAATAAATAATATTATTACAAAACAAAACCAAAAGAAATATGTATGTATCAATTAGTTATATATGTATAGTTAGAACATACCTATGACCGAATAAACACAAGTTTTTCACTTCTATTCTTTTTTTTAACGAAGTAACCCGCAACCGAGCCGATATATGTGGTAGATTATTTTTTTTTTTTTTTACCTATTTTGTATTACTTTTTTTTAATGGTATTGTCTATTAACTTATAGACTGCCCCCAAGATTTGAATTTTGTACACTTTCAGCATATTATTTTTTTTCTCTTCTCTTCACTTACACCCATATTTTTATCTCCAAAAAAAAATGTTTTAGGTCTGCCCATGCGGGCAGCAAAAATATAGGTGCATTGGTAAACTTATACTATCGTATAGTAGCTTGCAAAATATACGAGATACGTAAATCACACTAGACTAACTATCAGCGGCAGAGCCAGGATTTGATACAAGGGTGGACTAAATATTTAAGGGGTTCAGGGGCAGCGCCCCCGATTTTTTTTCTTAGGATCTATGCATAAAAAGTGGCGCAAAATTAACATAAAGAAATGTACATTAATTTTAATTGAATTGTATAAATTAAACTATATATTGCTAGTGGAGCTTTTTAAACTATATCACAAATCACTTGGGTAGGCTAATTAAATTGAACTTGTATTAAAATAATGTATAAATTTTTATAAATATACTAAAGAAATTCAAGTAAAACAAGAATATGGGAGATCAAATGTAAGGATAATAGAACCTTTTCTTCTTATTCTTTCTTGTATTCTCAAATCTCAAGTGTGTCTTTGTCTATTACAAAGTAAGCTATTTATACTTGCAAGGAAGATTAATGTTACAAGAGTGTACTTCAATTAAAGACCATTAATGGTTGGTAACTCTTCATTAATTTGGACATCCACTTAATGCATTTTCAATGCATTTACAACACTCCCCCTTGGATGTCCATCTTTATAGAGTAATATGCCTCGTTAAAAACTTTTCCAGTAAAACCCAATGGGGAAAATCTGGACCAAGGAAAAAGAGTACATATTCATGTGGAGCTTGCGATCGTGAGACACTGCCTCGTTAAAACCTTGCCAAGAAAAACCCAGTGGGATAAAAACTTGGAGGAAGGAAAAAGAGTACAGTGTGTGAGAGTTAATGATCACGCTCCCCCTGATGTCGGCCAGAGATTTTTGAGTCGACGCATTCCAATACTATGGACCATCTTCCTGAACGTTGTAGTTGGCAGTGCTTTAGTGAATAAATCTGCCAAGTTGTTGCATGACTGTATCTGATGAACGTCAATATCACCATTCTTTTGTAGCTCGTGAGTGTAGAAAAACTTGGGTGATATATGTTTTGTTCTATCACCTTTAATGTAGCCGTTTCTGATTTGTGCAATACAAGCGGCATTATCCTCGTAAAGTATTGTGGGTGTATCTCGTATTGAAGTCAGCCCACAATTTTCTCGAATGTGTTGGATCATTGATCTCAACCATATACACTCGCGACTGGTTTCATGCAATGCCAGAATTTCTGAGTGATTTGAAGAAGTAGCTACCAATGTCTGTTTCACTGAACGCCATGAAATTGCAGCACCGCCACAAATAAAAACATAACCACTCTGAGATCTGCCTTTATGTGGATCAGAGAGGTAGCCGGCATCTGCATAACCCACTACTTGGGATTCTGAATTGATTGAGTAAAACAAACCCATATCAGTTGTTCCACGAAGATAGCGTAATACATGTTTAATGCCATTCCAATGTCTTTTAGTAGGCGCAGAGCTATATCTTGCTAATAAGTTGACCGAGAAAGCAATATCAGGTCTAGTGTTATTTGCAAGATACATTAGTGCTCCAATGGCACTAAGATAAGGTACTTCTGGACCAAGTAATTCTTCATTCTCTTCTTGAAGGCGGAATGGATCTTTCTTTATATCCAACGATCGAACAACCATTGGACTACTCAAAGGATGAGATTTATCCATGTAAAATCGTTTTAGAATCTTTTCTGTATATGTTGATTGATGGATGAAGATTCCATTGGACAAATGCTCGATCTGCAGGCCGAGACAAAATTTTGTCCTTCCGAGATTTTTCATCTCAAATTCTTTCATCAAATAGTTTGCGGTCTTTGTGAGCTCTTCAGGAGTTCCCACAAGATTTAGATCATCCACGTAAACCGCAATAATAGCAAATCCACTATTAGATCTTTTGATGAAAACACAAGGACAAACTGGATTATTTATATACCCTTCTTTAACAAGGTATTCACTTAGACGGTTATACCACATTCTTCCGGATTGTTTTAAACCGTACAATGATCGTTGCAACTTAATAGAGTATAACTCACGAGACCTTTGTTTAAATGCTTCAGGCATTTTAAATCCTTCGGGGATTTTCATATAAATATCACTATCTAATGATCCATATAGATATGCAGTAACAACATCCATAAGGCGCATGTCAAGCCTCTCTGTGACTGCTAAACTGATCAAATATCTCAACGTGATTGCATCGATCACCGGGGAATATGTTTCATCATAATCAATCCCGGGTCTCTGTGAGAAACCTTGTGCAACTAGTCGTGCTTTATATCTCACGATTTCATTTTTCTCATTTCGTTTTCGTACGAATACCCATTTATATCCAACGGGTTTTACACCATCCGGTGTTTGGACTGCTGGTCCAAATACTTTACGATTTTCAAGGGAATTTAATTCAGCTTGAATAGCATTTTCCCATTTTGGCCAATCATTTCTATGTCGACATTCTTCGACAGATTTTGGTTCGGGGTCCTCATTTGCAATATCAATTGCAACCCCATAGACAAAAATATTATCAATAACAACTTTATTTCTATCCCAGTTTTTTCTGGTATTTATATAGTTTAAAGATATCTCTTCAGATATAAGTTCTTTCTCATGATCCTCTCCAGGGGCATCATGTACTTTAGACTGATCAGTCACATTTTTCATAGCGCTTTCTTGTTCAGAGATAATATTCTCTTCAGGAGAATTTACTTCTATTACCCTTTTCCTTCTAGGGTTCTTATCTTTCGCGCCAATAGGGCGCCCACGCTTCATGCGAGGTTTCATTATCTCTTCATGTTGTCCTTCAGGGACATCAACCCGTGCCGGGGTGTTTATAGCGGGTATATGAGATTTTGTTACCGTTTTCATATCGGTAAAAGCATCCGGCTATTGATTTGCAATATTTTGCAAATTGATTATCCTTTGTACTTCTTTCTCACATTGATTCGTGCGTGGGTCAAGATGAGACAAAGACGGTACATTCCATGTAATTTCACGCCGTTCAACCTGAACCGACGATCTCTCTCCCCCTAACGGCGGGAAAATTGTCTCATCAAAATGGCAATCAACAAATCTTGCCTTAAACAAATCACCCGTCAGGGGTTCAATGTATCTAATTATAGACGGGGAATCAAAACCAACATAAATTCCAATTCGTCTTTGGGGACCCATTTTTGTTCTCTGAGGTGGAGAAATTGGAACATAAACAGCACAACCAAATATTTTTAAGTGAGAAATGTCTGGCTGCTGGCCAGAAACAAGTTGAAACGGTGAATACTTCTGAAATGAACTTGGTCTAATCCTGACCAATGAAGCAGCATGTAATATTGCATGTCCCCAAATAGAAGTGGGTAAATTAGACCGTAAAAGCAAAGGTCTAGCAATCAGTTGCAATCTCTTAATAAAGGACTCTGCAAGTCCATTTTGAGTATGTACATGGGCAACTGAATGTTCAACATCAATACCAATTGACATGCAATAATCATTAAATGCTTGAGATGAAAATTCACCGGCATTATCAAGACGAATAGTCTTGATAGGATAATCGAGAAATTGAGCTCATAATCTTATGATTTGAGCAAGAAGTCTAGCAAAAGCAACAGTACGTGTTGACAATAGACTTACATGTGACCATCTAGATGATGCATCCAATAGAACCATAAAATAGCGAAATGGTCCACAAGGTGGATCTATAGGTCCACAAATATCCCCTTGAATTCTTTGTAAAAATGTTGGGGCCTCGCTACTAATTTTCATTGGAGATGGTCTTATAATTAATTTCCCTTGAGAACATGCAACACATACACATTCATGGGGCAAAAGAATCTTCTGGTTCTTTAAAGTATGCCCATATGAATTATTTATTATTCGACGCATCATGGTCGATCCTGGGTGACCAAGTCGATCGTGCCAAAGAGAGAAAAGTTTCGGATCATTGGACTTCTGGTCCATCACAATATTTGTTTCTATTGCGCTTATAGTCGCATAATACAACCCTGATGAGAAAACTGGGAGTTTCTCTTTAACATGCTTCTGGCATGAAATATTGGTTGTAATCAGTGTTCTAAAAATCGGCCGAGGCGGCCGATTAATCGGTCGCCGAGGCGGAGGCGGTCCAAAACCTTTACGATTTTAGTGTAAAGGTTTGAAAAATCGGT